ACAGCCCAATTGGCAACTTTGGACTGCTCTAACACGTGACCTAATTAACCTAGAGGGTTAATTTTTTCGGATTCTTAATGTGCTTTTCATGCTCTTTCAAGTGAATTATAACAATCGTTTTTTAAAGCAAAATTGAAATTCGTGAATTTTTCAAATTTGAGGTTTTTTTTTACAATATTTCTGTTTCTTTGAGCTTGGTGTGTATATATCTTATGACCTATTTTATGTAGAACATTGAAACTTGGAACACAACAAGACAATTTGATTATGAATTAACCTATGACAAAAAAGTTGAGGTGGGCGTGGCACATCCGGGTGGAATTACTAATTGTTTACATTTTGGGAAAGGGGCATAACTCGCATAGGATACATTTGTTCAAAAAGGAACTTTGCACACAATTACCTCATTATTTTGGCCAGTTTGTGTTAATAGGTCAATTGTTTCAGCTTTATAGTTCCAAAAAAGGAACGGGTTTTGAAATTTCCATATTTTCAATTTTCAATTTTGACCTTTATTGACACTTGTTGACCTATATCTTTTGACCTGTATGATGTAGAAGCTTTAAATTTGGGATACTACGTAACATTCAGAATATCAATTAACCTATGCAAAAGAAATTAAGGTGGGCGTAGCACATCCGGGTTAAATTACTCATTATTGACAATTTTGACAAGGGACTTAACTCGCAACGTATACATTTGTTCAAAATGGAACTTTGCATACAATTACTTCATCCGTTGAGCCACGTTGTCTTAGAAGTTCGATTGTTTCAGCTTTATAGTTCAAAAAAAGGAACAGGTTTTGAAAATTCAAAATTTTCAATTTTTGACCTTGACCTTTTTTGACCCTGATTTTTGTAGGATCAAAGGTCATTCAAATTGGTTATCTATTTATACTTTTATATTTGCTGTCCTATCTCAACTTCCGGTTTTATAGCCGTATATATTTAAAAATTTTGATGACTTGTATCTCGTAACCTTGACCTTTGTTGACCCTCTCCCTTTCAATGTTAAATGTCATTGACCTTGGCTATCTTCTGATACTTTCATTTGTGAGGTCTGTCTACTTCCGTTATAACAATCTTCCAAAGAATTCTTCTCAACTTTAGACTGCTCTTGCGCGTGATGTAATTATCGTAGAAGGTTGATTTTTTCAGAGTCTTTTGCAATTTGCTACATTTGCAAAGTCCCACTCTGTGCCACGTGTGGCTCTAGTTTTTTTTTTTTTTCGAAATTTACACACCTTCCTGAGCCTAGACTGCAGTAGTTGCAGCAACCATTCAACTTCTCTAGACCTTCTGTAGTGG